GGGAAGCCCAGTGACTGGGGAAGCACTTCTCATAGGGACAGAGTTGATCAAGAATTTTGCGTAAAAAGCATTTCGGTTACTTAGCTCTGTGAGTCTGTGAGTTAAGGACATTGTAAAGATACTCAAAGTTCTGGTAATATGAATTAATGAGATTGGAATTAAGGAAGTTACCAGTTCATTTTCAATGCTATTGTAAATACTTGGAAAGATGATGCATGAATGTATGTTTTAATAGGACATTATATTCCACTAAAACTATGTTAATCCTTAGTCATCAAGTGTGAATGTTACATTACATTATTTATGTGTTAAATTTTAGGCAATATAACATAGTACTTAAGGGAACTTCCCATAGAGTATCAGTGCCTGAGTTTAAATCCCAAATATACCACTACCTGTCTGTTGCCCTGTGCAAGTTTGTTAACTTTTCTGTGCCTTGGTTTCCTCATTTGTAAATGGGAAACAGTTACATCTCACAGAGGTGTTGTGATGATTATATGAGTTAATGTATGTTAATTGTTTGGGTTACAGATAGGTGTAAACTATACATATTTTTAAAATAATATAGAATTTTCCATTCTTCAAATGTAAACCATGCTAGAGCACTTTTCTATATGCTAAACAGTTAGATTTAAGATTAAGGAAGGGCTATTAGGCACCCACCATCTACTAGAAATCATGCCAGGTACCCGAAATCCAAAGATGAATTAGATAATACTCTTTCTCTTAGGGAAACCTGAGAACACATGAAACATGGTTATAATACATGATGTCAAGTGCTAATGATAAAGGTTTAGTTATTAAGTAAATGAAAGAGGGTCAGGGAAATCTTTGTATGGGAGATTACTTTTAAGCATGCATGGAACAGTATATAGAGATACTTAAGAAAATAAATGTGAGTTAAGGGCTTTATATCTTACTACGTTGTCCTTCGAGTATGAAGATTACAGGTAAGCAATTTTGAACATTAACATATGAGGAAACATTGTCTTGGGGAATACATTATTAAACGAAAATAGCTGTGGGAACAAAAGGAAAACAGCCAGAAAACTGAGTACAATAGACATCGGGACCAGAGTGATGGATTAAACTGTAAACAACATGTGCTTTTAAAATGTAGAAACAATGGCTCTTATTATAAGAAAATAGGACACAAGTGAAATAAACTCAGATTGCTTAAGTAGTGCTAGCTAGAAGCCAAAAAATATGTCAGTGCCAATAAATCAAATATTAGATGCTAACAGTGCAAAGATCAAAACAACGTAAGGGAAATGGGAGAAAATATAAATATTTTTAATCGCTCCTTTATGTGGGGTGCTATTAATTATACAGAATATGCATAATACCTTAATTTAATTAAAGCATAAACATTGTCACCAGAAGAAAAACACAAACCTTTTCAAATAACAAAAATAAAAGAACTTTATTCAACAGAAACAGAGATACCTCAAACAAAAAAATGAAATTAAAATGAAAGAATAACAGCATAAATAAGAAGGACAGTAAGAGATGTGATGTTAGCCCATCATGGTGGAGTCCAAACAAAACCATACGGAGACAGACATTTTACAGTGCACATTGCGTATGTAAGAAAGGTAAATATGTATGTAGCATGTTAGCAAAACATTAAAACAATATGCAAATATTATAATACACGAATACTGTACCACGGTGTACACAGGGAGCTATGTATAGGGCCAGGCAGGTAGAAGGAGGCTATGACACTTATTGCAATCCATGACAAAGTGTTTTAAAAGTGACAATAATTCAATAACAATTAATAAGGAGGTTGATACGTATTAATCTCTTTATTCTGAAGATATATCTTTAATTTCAAGTGTCCAGGGAACGTGTAACAATATTAACCAAATGTACTCTTCAAAAAATATCTCAATAAATGCCCCAAAGTCAAAATAGTACAGATAATAGTTCTCCTTCAGATGCAATATAATGAAAAATTAATGAAAAGGACCCAGAAAACAACAGCAACAAAACATGACTCAACTTGAAAACTTAACAATCCCAACAGCAACCTTTTCTTTAATAAAATGCCAATTAAAGAAAAAATGCACAGCAAAATTGCAAAATTTCTAGAAAAAGAATACATAGAAATTATGATATGCCAAATAAGTACATCTGAGAGTATATTCTAGAACCGCACTAAGTTCCATCCACCCAATTCCTGATAGGCAGCAAGCCTGTATCATTTCTAGAAAAGGTTATTTAAATTTGGGTAAGATTTATTGAATTAATCAAAGAGAGATTCTCATTCACTAATGTTAAGGAGAGAGGAGTCCAGAAAAAAAAATACAGGAGATCTGTGAGTCCAGACTGACGTTATGCAACTCCCAGCCAAGATGGACGTTAATTACTTTGTCAGTTCATTTCTAGTTTAAATCTCTCACAAGAAAATGACTCCTACTGATGGGTCACAAACTGCAGAATCAGCGAACATTCCTTTACAATATGCACATCCAAAATACATAATCCATCACATGTAAATGCATATGTGTTGTATATGTGATCCACTTTAGAGAACTTGGGTTTTTAAGATTTTTAAATTTTTTATTTTGTCTTACAAAGACTTATAAAATATTGTAGTGGCCCAGTCTCATCCATTGCCTCAACATCTGAGAAGTTTTCTAGGTTCTAGTTTCTTAATATCCAGTCGGGAAATGTTTCCTTCTGTGCAATCACCAGGCTCTGGGCAGGCCGCTTATTCAGGGCAGCTCAGAAGAGGTAAGGAGAAGACACGTCCGCAGGGCTAATTTTTCTCTTTCTAATGCTCCTTATGCTTCTCCTTCGAATCAGCCTCTCCTTGTCCCTCGGGGGAAGGAGGGTGTTGGGTCCCTCCACGGGGAGTGATCCTCTCAGATCTTGCCAAGAGAAAAGGCTTTGAGATTGAAGCCAGCTGCTGCAGAAGCAGTGGCAGAAATAAGATGAAAAACCATCTCGTCGGCCGCTGCTTATCGATATTAATGAGGAAGTTTGGCATCAGTGAGCACTCCCCCGGGCTCGAATTAAAAGGCTGGTCCTCGGATCACCTGCACCGACATCGCCATGGAGACTTTTGACATTGAGCTCGATTTTCTAAGCTCATAAATCTGAGCTCGCTTTAGGTTGCAGAGCCAATTATATGCACTATGTTTAACACTTTCCAAACATTCAATTTTTATCTAAAAAGGCATTTCCCCTTAGAAACGTTACCTAGCTGTTTCTTTGCACCTAGGTTTGTATCTTTGTTATTAATTTCCATAGTGCCCAGTCTTATGGCACTAAATACACAGTGCTGTAAGTATCTGTTTAGTATTTTATATCCTATATTAGGCCATATATTCTTTGGGATAAAACATCATACTGACTTATTCACTGTTGTATGCTAAGTGAAATTTATGATTCTTGACATGTATTATTTTTTTCACTTATCTTTATTGTTGAAAGTATTACAGATGTCCCCTTTCCCCCCCC